TAAAAGATCAGAGTACTTCTTCCACCACTGGATAAAAGTGTCAATGTGTTGGTGGTAGATAAGGCTAGGAGCCCTGAAGAGAGAGAAGTGGAGGGAAGAAAGGCATGCTAGCTCAAGAAAAACAACACCATGACGTAGTGGCTAGGGGCTCGAAGGAGGGAGCAAGCAACTGAACTCATAAGAATAAAACCAGGTGGGTATAAAGGATGACGTGGTAACGTGGCATTTATATGGTGGAATGGGACACAGTGGCAGAGTGGTGGTTATGGTGCTTGTGGTGATGGAAAGTACCTGGTGATGTCCGAGTCAGGGAACAGGCTTAAGTGATAGTTTGGGAGGGGGGCGGAGTGGAGGAGACTTTTGTCGCACTCCACTGGGGAATAGTGTCGGGGGGAGGGTGCTTTGTCACATAGTTTGTTCACAGTGCTGTAAACTGGCTCAGGAGGCCTACAGTGGAGTGAGAGACAAGAGCAGAAAGGTTAGTGTCCAGAGACAGAGGTGGGGTTGAAGGGTCTGGAATACATAATGATGACAGAGATGACAAAGATGAAAGACTAAAAAAAATCAAGCAGTATGAGACGTAGTAGAGAGACCAAAAGGAAGGCCTGCAATATGGTGTTTGCTTGATAAATAACTTTAATCGATCATTAAAATTGGTAACAATCCAGGTTCTGGCGTTGATTAACTGTTTCAGCTGACACTCATTAAACTAATTTCTTTATCATCATGTCACACGTGGTAGTGGAGTTAACATATCTGAAAGCTAAAAAGATTAAGAAAATGTATGCTGTGAAAATCTCTGCAGCAAGCTCTACAAATCTTGTATTTTGTTCGATTAATTAAATTTTTTACCATTAAATGAAGAGCCATAGCACATTCATAAAAGCAGTGTTTTGGTTTGGCAAGGAGCTTTATCTTTATCTGGATATTGTTAAAGGAACTGTTCCTGATATTTTTTTGTTAAAATAATGTTAAATAGCTCAACATTCTGGCAGCAATCACTGACATAGAGAGTTCAGTCACTAACATGGGTCCCCCAGTCCCTCTTTTCTGCAGTAAACAGAGAATACATTCTCTGGTATCCTGTTCCCACTTTATTCAATCAGGAGAGAGAACTCTACAGAGGCGGTCCTCAAGGGCAGGCAGCAGAAGTGTGGTGACGTGGGGGAGGAGGGAGAGGCACTGCTATACGGATGTAACGATATACTCACAATGATACTGGATGCATATGACAATTTCACAGTTTCTTTTAACAAAATGAGAATGTAGCAAATTATGACATAAAAAGATTCCTTAATTTCTCAGACCAAAATCTACAAAATATATTTCTTATCAAAACAATTATCAAAAAATAATATTTTTTTATTTGAGGTAGGGTATAAAGTGTAAAAAAACATTTTCTTTTCTTTACAACATTACACGTTGAGTTTACTCATGCAAATAATTTATTTGCCTTGGTGTAAACGCAGCATTTGGTAACAAAAACACAAAGATTCTTATTTTCAGGTGATTAACCATAAACCATAAACCATATAGATTTTTTTTAAATTCCATTTCTGCCAATAGATCCACATAAATGTTACACACTGGACCTTTAACATGTTAGCAAGCGCATCAAACAGTGTGATCTGTTAGAAATACTCTTTAAGAACAAACTTCCTCATTGGTGGCCAACTTAATTGGCTGGAGAATAATCTACAGTATTTTGTACAATATACATATTTTTGATAGCCTTTTTAGGGTAAGTTATTATTTGTGTATTTTTTAGATGATAGAAGGTTATCTCTAAGGAGAAAGGTTTAAGCAAAAAACATTCAACAGTAATTTCTTCTAAACATTTAGTCAGGCCTCCAAAACAAAATTAAAGGGGCTCATGTTTAAAACTGTCATAATGTAATTTCTATTTCCAACAATTGCTTGTGACAAAAAACATGTGATGACAAACATGCAAGAGCATGCAGCAGGCAACTAAATACATTAAATGTCTCACCTCAACTGGAAGTGCTGGGAATCAAACCTGTGACCCTCCCCGTCATCTAGCGAAGGATTTCTAACAGGATGGAAAAAGTCAACTTTTGATAACCAACCACCGACAACCACTGTTGACAACATCTTTTATCGTAAAATTTAATTCTGCTATTGACATTCATTTTACACATTTAGACACTGATCAAACAAACATGCTCCATAGAAGAACATGAGACAACAGAAAACAGAAAAAGCCATGTCCTTAAAAGTACTGAAGCAAACATCCATGTCAGGGATTTATAGAGTCATCAACATCATCATCACTAACATCAGTGTGTTAGCTCACACACAGTGTGCCTGCATGGAGATGCAGCACTAATCTGCTGTGAACACACTGCAAACTCACATCGCTGGCTTCACATTCAGTGTGTGCGTGTCTGCTGTTTGTGACCTGATGTGGATTCAAGTGTGTTAACTGGAGTGTGCAGTACAGTATGTGGGTTTGGAAAGGAGTAATTTAGGCAAAATGTATCTGTGTGTTTGAGATGGTGCTCTGTGTGTGTACGTGTAGTCTGTAGATGTGAGGCTGGTGATCACACTACTTGATGCAGACAAGATTAGAGTAGATGATCTTGCCCACACGCTAGCTCATTTACACACACAGCCTTGAGCATACTGCCACCTACACACTCCTCTCTTCCTCATCCTCTTTTCTCTCTCTCTCTCTCTCTCTGACCAACTGTTATGTGTTTGCATCCTGTTCAAACATGAGAACATCTTCACCAACTCTGTCCCCACTGCCTGACTGTGGCTGAATGAAGCTATCTGGTATCATCATAGTAACAGCTACACTAAATCACACACTGCAGTCCTTATGGACTGTTAGGTATCTCAAGAAATAGATGGCACTAAAGCCTAAAATAAATTGATAAACAGAGTTTGAATGCGATTTCTGGCATTCCTGATCCCACTTACAATCAGGAGAGAGAACTCCACAAAGAGAGGGATTTACAAATGTATTGCTCGAACATCGGTATCTTTGCCCTTGTTGACTGACACTGGCCTATGTGCAAATATTGGATATTGGAGTTTTCCAGCACTGGCACAAATTGCAAGCAAAAACCTATGTGCCCCAATGCCGCAGCCTGGATAGTGAGCGACTGTTCATCTCTGTGTCTCACATCTTGGAAAGTGGTGTTAGAAAATATCGAACAATATCGGATGAGAAGAGAAATTGCCTGAGCTGTAACAAGGCATATTTGTAGACTGGCACGAAAGGGTGAATAAAACAAAATACATCAGTATTGGCAAGTATCTGCCAACAAATTGGGAATTTCCCAATCATTGCATCCTGGTGTGAATGTGTTAGGAAACCAAACAAAATGAGTTCACTTCCTCTGCTTGCAAAGGGTTCTTCTTCAGCAGCACGTGATGACCAGAGACTGAGGTGGGTGAACACTACAGGGTCGAAGCTTAAGGCATGTCAAAGGTCACAGATTGGAAATGTAAATGATGTTTTATATTTAACTGCTCGAAAACATTCCTATAACCGAATCATCTATACCAGCTCTAATTCTACTCCGACTTCTGGATTCTGTGCTCGTACTGAGTCTCAAGAATGACCCACTGGCTTCGTTTCTCTTGCTGAATCATTCATACTGCAATGAGCTGAGCTGAGGCAGCTAGTCAGTCTACATCAGACCAAAATGCAGTGACCCGTACGTGCCATTAAGAGTCTGGAGGGGGACTAAGCAGCTGGTCTGTGGGGTGTGTGGAGACAACAACTCCCATCATCCCATGCTACGCCACCTCTTTTGTTAATATTGATGTGAGAGTAGAAATGACAAATTATATGTTTAATATATAATTAATCTGTTGTTAAGAGTGCATTATGACTTGTTTAGGACTTGAAACCCAAAGTTTAGAACTTAGGACTTGTCAGTCATGATCTAGACCTTGACTTGAGACTTACTTGTGGCTTGCAAAAATATGACTTCTTGGCCCCACCTCTAGTAAGCAAGAACAAGTAAACAGAAATATCAATATTCAGAATTCTGACATTTAGAAATTAGCTTATGAAATTAGGAACAATTTGTGACATTTGACAGTCACAGTGATAAAATGAATAGAGCTGCTGGATACAGGCTTTATCGATGATTACAGAAAGTGAGGATCCACATGGCTCTGTAGCATTCACAGTTTGTTCTGATTGTATATGCAGAACACTGAACAAGAGTAACACGAGCTACTGCCAGAGTGCTACACTTAAGTTCAGCAAAGTAATCTCAAAGGCTATTAGGGACGCACCTTGGCCGAGAGAAAACAGTAAACCTCTTAACTCCAAAGAGAATAGACGACTAAATCCCTCACTCAACAAAGCTTAACACAGGGGTCCTTCAGTTATCCTCTGAAATGAGCTTTTGTTATCCCTAGGCTGCCATATTCCTCCCCCAGTCTTTATTTTGCAAATGGAATCTGACAACACAACATAATGTTTGCCACAGTACGCAACAATGACCTAATCTAATTCTAATCTAAGAAGCATTATGGAGTCTTATGTAATATTTTTTTTCCTTGTATCCACCACTTTACCTTCTTGTGCTGCCTAAAAATCAGCTTTAATCAAATTCTTCAAATGCTGTGACATGTAACCAATAAAAAGGCTCAGACTAAACCTTATGTTTGACAAGCAACAAGGGGAACATCCACCACTGGCAAAATTTGCTGAGCAGAAACACAAATACTTTACTTTCCGATTTGACTTGATAGGAATTTTGGCCCACTTGGTCCCGAGCCGTATGGCAGCTTGCTTTGGGATTAGGTGTTGGGGCAGCTGAGGTGGGGAGCTGTTAATGTTTGGCTGTGACTCACTCCAGTAAGACATCTTAAGCTTTTCTTCTGTTTGGACTGGGAGCAGTTGTTAGAGAGGACTGACTGAAAAGCCAACAGGTAGAAAAATACATAAGGGGAGAGGGAAAAAGACATAGACAGACTAGATAGACGGCAGACATTTTTCGACAAACTGGAACTATCAGAGCTCATGGAAGCTCTGACACTGGATTTTTTCCGTCACTGAAAGCCTTTCTGTACAATAATTTTATCTTCCAAAAACATTTGCAGCATTATGTTGGGTGAAAAACTTTTCCACAACCCACCCAAATGCTGTAAAATTTTGTTTAGAAATCCTCACAGCAGATTAAGCTAAATTATGTATCCTGCTTTTTATGGTAGTTTTCCTCAAAGAGGTACTCACTTTTTTGAGCTGTAAACTTAATTATATTACTGTACTGTGATGAAACACATCAATGCTGGTGTAAACATTGACTTTGACTGAATTTATGAAAATGTCTCAACACACCTTGACTGTTTTAAATAACTCTGAACCTTGCAAGTCCAATGTTGACATAGAGTCGACTGTTTGGGACTACTTCATCATCAGACATTTACGTAAAAAAAGAGTATCCAGCCTTTACTTTGAGCGGGAGTCACACAGTGAACATTTTCAAATGTATGCTGATCAACGCATCATTCACAGGAGTTTATGCTAGTTTTTGCTAACCCTCTACTTTGTATTTTTTGTATTTACAGGCAGTGGTTTGGACTTTTGATGGCTATAGAAACACCAGACTGCATTATAGTCCCACCACAGACAGAGTGTTAGCATCCCTGATCTGTTAGCTTAGCTACAACACAGTTAACACACAAAAACTTTTACAAACAGTGTGAATGTGCTTCTAGTGACTGTAATAGCTCCAGCGGAGTCTTACAGCAACTGCTCATTAGCTTGGACTACTAGTCCACTGTTCCTGCTACACTGCTGTGGTCAGTCTGTCAATCACTTTAATCGTGTTGAGGCCACGCCCCCTAAAGTCACTGTCCTTTGCAGGTCTCTGATGCATTTTAAAATTTGCTGAAAGGGAGGGAGCTAGAAGAACTGAAGGGTTTAGTTACACACTAGCAACCCAAAAGACTCAACTGATCCCAGGGAAAAACACAGCAAGCCCTGATAAAACAGCAAAACAACATCCTTTTCACACACATACTGCTTTCTATGAAAATATATATTAGTGTGATTGTATTGCTGCTGGACCTGAAGCAGCCTTTGCTATAATAACATTATTTCCACCGATAACCCACATTGCCAAAGCCTATCTAAACAACAGCTTGTACCACCAACACCAAAACACAATGTAAATACTATGGCTCTGTTGGGTTTCATTATGAAGCAAGGATTCGCTGCTCCTGTGGTTTCCAGGTGTGCATCACAGCGGCACTAAACAACACATTCTCTGGAAAGAAATCATAAAGAGAGACATTCAGCCACAGACACGACACAGCAAGACAGAAACACAGGACTACAGCAAACCAGCGGTTTTCAAATTGCTGTTTCTGGGGAGCTTCTATTCTATAAATATTAGTTTTGATAAATGTGATCAGAATGTTGCAGATCCTGATTGGGGATCAAGGGACCCACCTTTATTGTCCCAGATGTCTTTTTATTTGAGGCTATCTTTGAAAAACACTGCAGGGAGAACTCGACACAGACTGTGGGATTAACAGAAAACAGGCGATCCAAACACCAACACAGATCAGTGACGACAAGGGCGGAGACAGGAGGAGCGGGGTGGACAAAGCTTCTACCTGTAGTTCTAGTAGTCTGGTAGGAAGGGAAGTAATTACCGTAAGAAGGAAAAACCATCCAACCTGTTTATATCCTCTTCCCCCAGTAAGTGCTTAGGGAGGGGGGAATAACTCCCGGGGGAGATGGGGGGGAGGCCAGACTTGTACTCCAGAGTGCCACTGTTGACGGGGGAAGAGATATGATTTTCCATGGCCGGAGAGAAAGCTGTGGAGGAAGAGCGAGAGAGAGTAAAGTGACAGCTGCATAAACAGACAAACAAGTTGACACATTTCCATCATGCTGAGAAAGTGTGCCTGTGACATTCAAATATTCATATAAAATAAATCTCTATGACTCAGCGTCAAATACAGAATCCAATCTAAATGTTTTGTTCTTTATACATCAAATTATTCATATATAGACTGATCTTTTCTATTGATTGTGTCTAGTCTAATGTTGTAACTCTAATTGTTCTCCATTTAGGATTTTTTTATGGGACCTCCTTTAAAACGAGATGTTACATCTTCAAGGAGTTTATCCTGAGATAATTCTTGAGTGAAAACGAAAACTGTAATGCAAAACTGATCATTCCTACTAAATGAATCACATTGAAATCAAAATATCAAATCAACACAATTGCAATATTATTTTTTTTAACATATCGTGCAGCATAATTTCGTTTAACGTAATATGCTCATCAAACCCATTTTTAGCAACAGCCAGAACCAAACAGCTGACAGTTAGAGACTATCTGGTGAACATAGTGGAGCATTTAGAGGCGAAAGAGATATTTTTATCAGCAGATGATGGAGACCAAACCAGAACTACAGGAGAGTGAATATTGGACTTGCAGCACTCAAGTGGACAAAAACAAGGCCTCAAATGAATGCTAATGTTGCTAATGCTAATGTGGCTCAGAGGTAGAGCAGGTCGTCCACCAATCAGAAGGTTGCTGCATGTCCTTGAGCATGATACTGAACCCCAAACTGCTCCTGATACTATGCATCAGTGTTTGAATGAGTACAGATGGCTGAGTGTGGCATGTAGTGTTAAAGCGCTTTGAGTGTTCGAAAGACTAGAAATGCACTATACAAGTACAATCCATTTCCCATTTAATATGTGATAAGTGATTCACAGTCATGCTCTTAAAAATGTATTTAGTGCAAAGAAATCTCACGTGTAATAAGCAACAAAAGACACACTTAAACATCTTTAACATTTACTGGATAATGCCTTCTGCAGTCTGGTTAAACTTTTCTAACTACTGATCAGTTCAAAAACAAGAGGTGAGGACTTACAGTGTGTGATATCAGGCGGCCCATAGGGATCTGATAGGTAGACATTGGTGGGCTTCCCCACCTTTAGATAGACCACGTCCGACGTGTTCTTTAAAATGGCCACAGCCTCCTCATGAGAGACTTCCTCCAGGCTGTAGTTGTTCACCTGTCGGAACACAGATACAGTCCTTGGTTGTTCAGGCAGGAGTTTTAGAGGCTGCCTTGTGTTTTCTTACTGCTCTGTTTAGATTAGTCCGGCGTGCTCCCTGCCTTCAGGGGACTGGATTATGACAGATGGTGTTCGGCTGAGAACACGACAGTAGGAAGGTAATTAAATTAAGCACTGGTTAAGCAAGAAGGATGCCCTCCTCAAGAGAAAGCTTGCTGTTACACTACTGAGCCAGTAGGTTGCCCCTTTCTTGCTTTCAAAATGTGTAATACACTGTACACAGCGTAACCTAATTTATCTCTAAGATCTGCCTCAATAATAATGATCACTGTGTTACATGTTACAACATGTTTACATCGATGCCGCTAGAGGAAACGGTGTATAGTCTCCATATCAACAACCTTGTACTTCCATTCTGTCTACAGAAACGCCAGAGAGCTTTTAATCTAAAACAGATACTCCCTCGAAACAGTTTGGACCGCTTCCCCCAACCCCCAATTCTAATGTTTCCACTAAGGTTCACTGAGGCGATACTGCATATCCACGTGCAATAATCTGTGAAAATGTACTGGAATTATTTGTCAACATCTATTTTATGAAATATCTTTAAAATTGAACACATTGTTGTCCTCACCATTAGCAACCTGTCTCCAACTTGCAGTCGTCCGTCCTTCTGGGCTGCCCCCCCATCGATGATCTTGGTGACATATATGCTGTTGTCACCAGGGATGTGCTGGTTTCCAACTCCACCTGCAATACTGAAGCCAAGCCCTGTGTGTGTTCGTATATATGAAAGTAGTTGGTTAGTTGCTGGGCTGTGTGTATGACAGATATACGTATGTTGGGCATGAGACAATACCACCACTATTTGGATAGAAGTTATTAAGAACTGTAAATATTTGTGTGCTTGACTTAGCAGGACTGTATATGTGTGTGTGTGTGTGTGTGTGTGTGTGTGAGCCCACCTTTTGGTCCTTTGATGAGCTTGATCTCGATGATGGTCTCCAGCATTGGTCTGCGGCGCCGCACATACAGCCGGACAATAGAGCCTGCAACCTTCAGGGCTTCAACCGCCTTACTGTGAGAAACCTCAGACACGTCTGCATCATTCACCCGCAGGATGCAGTCGTTTACTCTGGAAGAGGAACAGTGTAAATCAGTGATGATGATAATTAGATTACTGTTACTTTCCCCCCGCAAGCAGGCTGCGTTACTGCGTTACTTAACCGTGATTTTGTTTTGTGAGACTGTCTCGTGAGTGACAATGACGTATGAGTGCCGCGACGTCAGTGGTAAACACTGATACGTGTAGTGATCAATAAGAGACAACATGGAGCGCGGGAGAGAGCAGGACCATGCAGCGTTTAATGCTTGGAAGTACCGACATTACTTTGAGTTTGACTCGGTAAAAGGTACACTCTGCGTGGGAAGAAAACCTTTAACTACAGCGAAAAATTCCACCTCAA